GCTCAAACTGTTTTTAAAAGAAGATCACAAGTGCCTTGTGCGACACTTGAACTAGGATCTCAACTCTAGTGAAATCTTGAGTCTACTCTTTTTTTTTTTAATTCCTATGTATTCGTACTTTTAGTCTTTTTTTTTTTCATATAAGCAACGAATATTTTTATCACTATAAATTTAATTAAAAAGAAAGTGGGGAGCCAGAAATAATTAGTGGGTGACCATAGAATCCCCTGACCCCTCTCTATATGCATGTCAATAATCATTTTTTAAGAAAAGATTAAGGACCCGTTTAGAAAGTACACTCAAATCATGATTCTTGATTATGACGTTTAAAATTTAAATTTTTTTTATAAGAGAAAAATATTGTAACAGAATTAATAATTTGAGTCTGAGTATACGAAACAAACAGACCTTAAAAAGAGTGAGAAAAATAAAAAGTGAATAATGCATGCTTATAGTATAAGGAAGGGAGAAAAATAAAAGTGAATGATGCACGCTAAAATCCAACAAAATAAATGCGAAAGACGAAGAATAAAGTTCGGATAATTTGATGTTGTCACAAGTTTCCTACCCCCACTTTTTTGCTTACTAAGTGGTCTGTGGACCCGTTAATTGGATGGCTGTAAAGAGACACAGAGGCATGCTTTGTCCTCCTAAATTTTAAGCTAAGATTATAATGTAATATATTGTTCATCATGATCCCATTTGTTTTGTTCTTTTTATTTTATTTTATTTTATTTTTTATAATTGTTAGGTATTATCCTTCTTATTCTATAGAGTTTAGTAATCCACGTCCACGAAGTTCCAGAAAGTTGTGCAAATTAAATTATTGTGAAACCCTGTGGATTTTGGAAATACATGGTTACATCGTCATTATGATTGATCTATTTATTCATTCTCGCTCAGTAAGAAGTTTTTTAAAAGTAAATTCTAAAGAATTCTGTAATCTAATATATTTCCTAATAAAAATTCAAATTTTGATTTTGATTGACGTTTGAAAGAGCCGTGTTGCATATCTTATCTATTTATAATTATTAATTTGCTATAGATTAAAGTGTGCCCTACATTATTTAACGGCTAGATTTTGATAAACTCAGTATTGATTTTGATGTTTGAAAGAGTCGTGATGCATATCTTCTCTGCTTAGAGTGGAGTGAATCGTACATTATTCAACGGCTAGATTCATGCTAATTGTCGTTTAGCAAAATTTTGTCCAACACAGCAACCATCTTGATCAACAAGCCATATGGAAAGCATAATCATATCTTATTTCATGGGCAAGTTTTAATCATTTTCTTTCAAGTTAGGCACTTATAACAATGAGTGGGGCACTTATAATAATGAGCACAGGAGTTTTAGAAAAAGTAAAATTCGACTCTCTCTTTTCTCTACCATATTTACCAACTAGGTAAAAAATTATAAGTTAAGGTCCTGTTCATTTCACCAGTTTGAATTTTTAGTTTTAAGTTTTTACAGTTAAAAGTTCTCAGAAAATGTCACATTTAACTTTTTCTATTACAGTTAAAAGCTCTCAAAAAATGTCACATATCAGTTCGAATTAAAAAATCAAATCCACGAAACGAACGAGACTTAAGTTACCAAAGTCTCACGCAAATTGCAAAAGCGTTAGTTTGACATTACTTTTATTCTTATTTTTAGATAGTAGAAGAAAAAAAATATATAGCTTTTTTATTTCAATGCCACATTTTTTATTTTGATTAAAAAGCACTTATAAAAAATTATTCAAACGCTCTTAGAAACGACTTTAAAAAAAAAAAAAAAAAACTTTCAAAAAGTAATGCCAATCTCGCTCACAAAATCTCTAATAAATTATTGAAAAAAAAAAACCTCAAAACAGTCATTATGCATTAATCTTTATTTCTCTATTATTTATTTATTTATTGGTTTCTCCCGTAGGTACTTATCCCAATACTCATACTCTATTTTTCATAATCTCCTTTAGTTTTTTGTTTCTTTGCAAAATTAGGGGAGGGAAGGGGAGGTACGTATTAGAATGAGACGACTAAATGAAACAAGGGAGAGAGGTATAAGAGGAAGAGAGGGAGTGGAAGAGGGATAAAGAACGCAAGAAAGGAATGAGAAAGAAGAAGATTAATGCCTCGTTCATTTTACCGATTTAAGTTTTCAGTTTTAAATTTTTATAGTTAAAAGATCTCAGAAAATGTCATATCTAACTTTTTCTGCTACAGTTAAAAGCTCTCAGAAAATGTCATATCTAACTTTTTTTGCTACAGTTAAAAACTCTAAGAAAATGTCTCATCTCAACTGAAAACTTAAATTTGTGAAGTGAATGAAGTTAAAAAGAAAAAATAATAGAGAAAAAGAGAGAAAAAAATATAAAACCAAAATTGCTTTTATAATTTTACTTTCAGTTTTTTTTTTTTTTTTTGAGAGAATTGTACCTTGAGCTTTTATAATCTTACCTTCAGTTATGATCTTACATGATCATTTCATGTCATGTTTCGGCGATAAAATAATGGGAGAATGGGATTTTTTTCGTTTTCAATAATTTAAGGAAACAAGTCATGTCACAAACTTGGGATTATCACGAATAAGTGGTTTAGATTGGAAGAAGTTTTGAAATTTATCCCCATATATGGACAGCCAAATGTTTATCCATGTCTTGTGAGACGCCATAATTTGATATCCCACCTATCACTTGAAGAAGGTCAGCAATTCGGTCGCTTTTATGATATAGTAACATGGGAAACCATTACAAGAAAAATCAAATGCCTTCACAAGTATATGCAAAGAATAAATCTTACGTGGACTTTAAGGCCAACGAATTACAGATCCTGTCCCGTCTTGGGTATTAGCTTCAAACTAATTATCAATGACTTTAATCATTCAAGTGGAATTAAATTCAAACTTTTTTTTTTTTTTTTTTTAAAGAAAGTCTTGCCGACAAGAGAGTACTTATAGTGCCTCTTTTAACCTTTTTTTTGTATGGTTACGTATGTTTAAAATTAAATAAGATTAAAAAATATATAAAATAAACCGTTTTTGATATAAATTTAATGGTTGAAAATGACTGAAAAAAATAAAACTATCAGTAAAACTATTTTTCTAGTCTTATGGAAACTCTTTTTTTTTTTTCCAATAAAACTAAAATCAATAATCTCAGGTTGAAAATTAGTTTTTTATATAGCATTTTTGCACCCTACATTTTAATATTACTCAAAAAAATAATTGTTAGCTTTCGATCGTTGCCCATTTATATAATCGAATTATATTTAATAGACAAATAACATTTTCTCAATCAATATGGGATTTTGATTAAAGCAATGACAATACCCTTGAATATAAAATTAAAAAGAAAAATAGTAAACATTAAAAAAATTAGAATAAAAAATGAAAAATGAAAACTAAACAAAATTTCCTCGTTTTGCGTTTTGAACTTTTTTTTTTTGTTTTTGTTTTTTTTGCTCTTTCTGTTTTTACTCATTAGGGTATTTTGATCACTTTCATAATAAAAAGCTATATTTGCCTAAGAAAAGAATGACTTTATTAGATGTGGGAAGGCCTTTTCAGAAGCAACTTAAGGGTAATCACTGCCTTATTTATAGCAGGAACCATCATTTACCATCTATAATTGCCACGTAAATATTAGAAGGCAATCCATGGGTAATTTCTGTAGATTTCCCTTGGATAACAATCCATCTTTCTTGCTTTCACTCTTTCATCCAATCAATCTTGAGGTTTCCGATCAGCATGAGAATTCGAGTTCCAGAATTGAACAAAACGGCCAGTAAAATAACAAATCATGTACGTTTGAAGAAACAACATGACCTTAGAAACGACAATAAACCCAATAAACAACAGAAATGGTGAACGACAAGAACCCCTGTATATATGTATGTATTGGTCAAGAGAATCTCAATACTATTCGTTTAACTAGGATATTTCGAGTTAGAAATAATTACATATAAACTGTTTGATTTTTAGCCGTTTTGAAATTTATATGGTTTTTTTACAATATTCTGGAACTTTTTCTTAAAAAAAAAAAAAAAAAAAAAGTTGTTTGTAGTTATGACATAGACTGAAAACGAGAATATCATTCAAACAATATCTAAAGTGAATCAACATTAATTCACCTTAAAAACGGCATCAATTCACTCCAAAAAAAAAGGGCATCAATTGTGTAAAAGACAAGAAAAATAAACAAACGACATCACACCACAAGAACTTGAAAACAGTATTGAATAGAAAACGACATCAATTGTGAAAACCGCAGCAACCTGATGAAACACATCAACCAGGAATCGACAACATATTAATTAACAAAACAGAATTGAAAGGGTAACAACAAGAATTGCCAGGGACAACAAAAAGATTAGAAAACTAGCAGGTTGTAAAACGGCGGCTAAAAACAATTTATCTACAACAAAGGACACCAACATGTAAACGGCAATAATTTCATGAAACGATATAAACTATAAGCGACTGCACCGTCAAAATATTATGCATCTGATGATGAAGGAAAGGAATACTTCCATGAAACAACATAAACTAGTTTCTCTGTTTAATGCGAAGTTTAAAAATCATATTATCAGTAACCATATTAAACAATCTGCTCTATATATGTTTTCACCAAACGCCTAATGCTCAACAAAGCGGCATGCACATAATCCATGAAAAAAGTTACCCCCTCAATTTCCCTTTATGAAGAATTAAAGCCAAAAATATGAATTGAATAAATTAGCACATACGGTTCATACTGTTCATTTTCTGATAATAATTAAAAAAGAAACGTTAAGTGGCGGTTACTCCCAAGGATAAAGAACAAGAAAATACCCTTGTCAATCTCTCTCACATACGGAGCAACCGAGTGAAGATACCTTGTGCCAGCTCAATTAAATCTAGTGATCACTACCAACTATGATTTCATTTAAAAAAAAAAAAAAAAAAAGAACCCAAGATGTCAATCTTTATATATCATGTGTAACTTTACAACTAGTTGGATTTTCACACAACGCATGAAGATGACAAGAAGCAAGATCAAGAACCGGCCTCTATTATCGCTTGTTGTGGCTGTCCTAGGTTTCTTTTGGCGTACTATAACGGCGAGTAGTAATGGCGAATATTTGATAGGAGTTGGGAGCTATGACATGACTGGACCGGCAGCCGGGGTGAACATGATGGGCTACGCCAACCCCTTCCAAACAACGGCGGGTGTGCATTTCCGGCTAAGGGTGAGGACTTTCATAGTGGCCGAGAGCTCCCAAGGTCCGAGGTTTGCCTTTGTTAATCTTGACTCAGGAATGGCTTCGCAGCTCGTTACTATTAAAGTGCTCGAGAAGCTCAAAACAAGGTATATTATGTACTTAATTACATGCCAAAACTAGTCATCAACCTAATTTAGTTGTAAATTAATTTGACTTGAGTCAAGATATTTACTCTTTTTTTTTTTGACATAAATCAGAGAGAGAGAGTTTATTTTTAGTCCTCCAATTATATGTTAAATCTCATTATGGATTTTCAAAACATGTCAAAACGAATTATAGATAAGCTGAATTGTTCCACATTAGCTATTTTGTCTATCTAACCGTTAAAATATTAACTGAAAAGGCGAGACTTTCATCTTAATATACGTGTCCGAACATATAAAATTAGAAAATTAATTTACTAAACTATACATGGTCCAAACGTCTCTTTTTTTTTTTTTTTTTTTTGGTCAAGATCATGTCTATGTCACATGGACAAAAAAACTAATTTGGAAAAACTTTGATAGAATTTGTCTATAATCCGGAGACTAATTAAGGATGATATCAGCCCTTAATGTTAATAATGCTGATCAATTTTTGAAGGTTTGGAGGTTTATATACGGAAGAAAATGTGGCAATCAGTGGGATTCACACTCATGCGGGACCCGGGGGCTATTTGCAGTACATGCTTTACACAATAGCGTCCCTGGGTTTTGTCCAACAATCCTTTGACGCGATTGTGGATGCAATTGAGCAGAGCATTATTCAGGTTCATGGAAGCCTCAAACCAGGATCAGTCTTCATCAATCAAGGTAATCATGGATTCAAAACTATTCTCGTTTTACGTGTATTTTATGTGAGAAAATACTGTAGCGAGTCACAAACCATAATTCGAACCATGACACGAATCTCCCTTCCAAACGCGCACGCTTAATAATTCGTCACAATATGCATTGTATATATTGTAAGGTGTGTGTACATACACACACACATATATATATATATATATATATATGTTGATGTGCGTATATGTATACTATATAGGGGACGTGGAAAATGCTGGAATAAACAGAAGCCCAAGTGCGTATTTGATGAATCCAGAAGAGGAGAGAGCTCGGTATTCGACAAACGTCGATAAACTTATGACACTGTTGAAGTTTGTTGATGGTGCAAGCGGGAAGAGCATTGGAGGGTTCAGCTGGTATGCGACGCATGGAACGTCAATGAGCAAAGACAACAAACTTATCAGCGGCGACAACAAGGGCGCTGCCGCTAGGCTCTTTGAGGACTGGTTCGCTTCCGCTAGTACTCAATCTCCTTCCCACTCTATTACCAATTCTTCTTCTTCTTCCCTAGGTAATCAAGCTTTTCCTCTAACAACGCCCTTTTCATGTAATAACAAACATGATATAACCATGTCATGTAGAATTCGCGCCCTAGAACTAAAATTTCATCTGTATGCAATTTAATTAGGGCCATCTTTGTGTTCTTTCTGATATATATTAAAAACGAGGGTCTGATTTTTCAAGTTGATTGTGAAAAGTTTCATTTTCTCTCTAAAGAAAAACGTTCATATGTATTTTAATAAAAACGAAAGTTCATATTAGTAATTTGGATAAACTATTTCTTTCTTTCTTTCTTTCTTCCTCGTCTTAGGCAAATGTGAACACATATCTGGTTATGCAACATTGTGACAACTATGTCGTATTGTAATTCCTGTCCAAGAATACTAAAACTTCATGACTGATGTATACACAATATGAACACTTAATTAAGTTATGGGAATATTGGTCTTTTCAATGCATATAGAATTTCAAAAATAAAAAATAAAAAGGGGTCTATTTTTTTAATTTTTTAGTGAGGAAGTTCCATTTTCACAACGTTCTTGTTTGTTTGGATCAGTACTAGTTTTTTCTTTGGACAAATTAACTTATTATGTCAATATTATATATCATTAATTCAAGTTTGACCACAGGAAAAGAACAAATTCAAGGACCATGGTGGTTGTGAAGAATTATAGAAATCGCCGAATACTAATTGATGTTTGCTTTGTGTGAATTAGATGTTGGTGATGAACTAATAAAGAAAGCTCAAAGAATCAAAGCCACGGGAGGAAAGCTCTGCGGTCCAAAAACCAGCCAAGGGTTCAAAGTAAGAAAGAACGATGGGTCCCTCTTCGTAGGGGCTTTTTGCCAATCAAATGTGGGAGATGTCACCCCTAATGTGTTGGGAGCATTTTGCACTGATAGTGGCAAACCTTGTGATTTCCAGCACTCCACTTGCGATGGCGATAACCAGCGCTGTTTGGGCCGTGGACCAGGGTAACCTCCTAAAGATAAAGAGAAAGGCTATTTTGAATGGACATCTCCTCAACTTTACGAGTTTGGCATATTAATTTTTTAATTTTTTTTTCGCAATTCACCTCTTAAACTTTAAAATTTGTTACAATATTAGTCAAATTAAAAACTTAATTAAAAATTTAGACGGTATCTTCTACGTGAGTGTTTAATGAGGATAATTAATAACTTTTTGCATCGAATTGATCCTCGTATATGCATATTACAGGTGAATTTTTTTTTGAAATTGGGAGTTGACTGTTTTTGGGTAAAAATTAGGGGTTCCCAATGTTAAAAAATTTTCACCTGTAATGCTTATATAAGGATCAATTCGATGCAAAATGATATTAATTACTCTCATTAAACACTCACGTAGAAGATACCATTCAAATTTTTAACTAATGAGATGTTTGGTTCATGGATTAGAACCATGTGATTAGAAGATTTTTCGATTTACGTGTATTTTTTGTGAGAGAAAATATTATAGCAAACTACGAACCATGATTCGAATCAGGGAACGAATCTAAGTACCAAACATCCCCTAAGTTTTCAATTTGACTAACATTGCAACAAATTTCAAAATTTAAGGGGTAATTGCTGAGAAAAAAATTAAAGGACTAATTTGCCAAACTCGTAAAGGTTAGGGGGTGTCTATGCAAAAAAGCTATAAAAAATTTTGCTAAACTTACTCTTTGAGTGCATGAATTTGAATTTTTATCTCTTACTCTTGATTAATACCTTTTAACTAGTATAGTTATTTGACATAAAAAAGAAAAAATTGCTAAACTTACCCTTAGAGTGTATGAATCTAAATTTCTACGTCTTACTCTTAAATAATACATTTTTGACTAAAAAAATATATTAAATAAGAGTAAAAGATAAAAATTTAAATGTATATTTTAAGAGATATCTTACTTAATTAAGAATAACCAATAAAAATTTAGATGGGCTCGCCTTGGGCTCATGCTTCTTTAGGTTTCTTCTTCAAATAAAGTTCATTCACTGGCATCATTTTAATGTTGAACGACAGGTATCCAGATGAAATACTAAGCACGAAGATCATAGGAGAGAGGCAGTTTAAACAGGCCGTTGATCTATTCATGTCGGCTACGGAGCAACTAACTGGAAAAATCGACTACCGACATGTGTATCTGAATTTCACGAACATCGAGGTTGATTTGCATGGGAAGAACGTGGTGCAAACGTGCCCTGCTGCTCTTGGACCGGGTTTCGCCGCTGGGACTACGGATGGGCCCGGTTTCCCTGGTTTCCAACAAGGTGATAAGAAGGTAAGAATCATTTTTTTTTTTTCGTACTTTATTTTTGTGATTTATTTATGTTGGTGTGATTTTTTTTGTCTAATGGGTTTAGTTAAGTGAGCGGTGGATAAAACTGAGGGACGCTCTGAAGAAACCGAGCCAATATCAATTGGACTGCCAATACCCCAAGCCAGTTTTGATCGATAGTGGCGAAAAGTTTGATCCTTATGCATGGGCGGTAAGAGAAAACTTTTAATAAACAAGGACAAAAAAGATATTCAAAATAGTACAAGTGGATGGTAATTATTAGAAAATGGAAAAAAAAAAAAAATCAGCAAGTAATATGAAACTTGTTCTCAGGAGAAAATAAGACTAAAAGAGCCAAGAGTTTAAGATTAAGTAGGAATATGACACTTAAATTGAAAGGTATGAAAGAAGCATTTCAAATAAAATTAAGGTTTATATATATTTCAAGAAAAAAAAAGAGAAAAAATAGTCACTCATGAATTCTTTGGATATAAATGCAGCCTGCAATATTACCAATTCAAATTCTCAGGTTGGGAAAACTGATCATACTTTCTGTCCCTGGAGGTTTGTTTCCTTTTCACTTTAGTAATTTGAGCTTACCAAACTATAGCATATGCCTCATATTATAACCTCGTCTATTCTGCTGACTAGAAATAAATCTAACAAGACATACGGCAATATACCACTACAATTGAACCTTGCAGAATTCACCACCATGGCCGGGCGGCGACTAAGAGAAGCAGTTAAGGAGACACTAATTGGCGATGGCAGCGGCGAATTTGATAATAACACGCATGTTGTAATAGCAGGACTTTCAAATACCTACTCACAATATGTTGCCACATTTGAAGAGTACACACAACAACGATATGAGGTACATAGAGAACTCATCAGCAAATTCTATCCCTTCAAGCTTACCAATATATATATATATATATATATATATATATATGTACACACGTGTGTGTTCAATTTGCATGAATACTCAATGGGAACTTGCAGGCTTCTTCAACTCTTTATGGTCCTCATACCTTATCAGCATATATTCAAGAGTTTAAGAAACTAGCAAAAGCAATGGCAAAAGGAGAACCTGTCCCAAAGGGTCCTTCCCCGCCAGATCTTTCCTCAGAAATAATTCGCAACCAAGTCGGACCTGTTGGAGAGTCACCTCCCCCGGGGGTGAATTTTGGCGACATAAAAGACGACGTAAATCTACCGAAGAGTGGCTCGTTTGCGAAAGGTGAAAGAGTAAACGCAACATTTTGGAGCGCAAACCCAAGGTACGATCTCTTGACAGAAGGAACGTATGCAGTTGTAGAGATGCTTCAAGGCAAAAGTTGGATCTCGGTTTATGATGATGATGATCTCAGCTTGTATTACAAATTCAAAGTGGATAAGAGTGGCTATTATGGCTTGGCAAACCTAGAATGGGAAATACCAAAAGAGGCCAAATCTGGGGTTTACAGGCTAAGGCACTTCGGATCTTCAAGGAAGAAAAAGGACTCTCCCAACATATACTTTACTGGAGCATCCAGTTCATTTGCAGTGTCATAGAGAAAAGAAATCTCATAATTTTAGCCACAACTTGTACTTATAGCAGAGAAAACAATAAGTACTGTCCAGTTTAATGGTTTTACGTACAAAACTGTCACTTTTTCAACACCAAAACAAACTAGCCAAAGAATAATATTGAATTTGGGACACATGCTGAGGTTGAAAGAAAAACCTGTCACTAGTAGGAGTTGTACTCATTTGTTCATCCATATCACACATCTGAGACACTTCCCTTCAGTGAGTAGATCAAAAGCTTTGTTGATGTCTTCAAACTTAAACTCGTGCGTAACGAACTCATCCAGCTGAAGTTCCTGGTAGAAAAACAATATAAAATGAACAAGCAAATATATAAACATATATATATATATATAACATGGCAATGTTTTTGTAATCAAAACCAAGTTTTTTTTTTTTAGGAAAATAATGGTAACCATCACCTTGTCTAGGTAACGTTTAAGGAGGATAGGAATATCAGACTTGGGTTTGATTCCCCCGAATAAGGATGCCAAAAGGGTTTTCCCATGGTGAAGGATATTGTATGAGGGAAGGGTCACCTGTGACCCTGGCTTGTCCACACCTAACATGATTGTTTTGCCCCAACCCTGAAATCCGGGGAAAAAAAAAAAAGATGAACATGTGATATGTGTATAATGAACGACAACACAGAGAATATGTTACTAGTGATACATAAGCTTTGTGTTTGAAATGAGAGAGAGACCTTTCGGCAGCAAGCATATGCTTCTTGCACCAAGGATGCATTTCCAACACACTCAAAGCAATAATCCGCGCCAACCCCCGTCATCTCCATGATCATCTGGCTTGAAATAAGCAAGTCCAAATATGATCAGAACTTCATTAGCATGGTTATTTCAAGTGTGAATTCATTGAAGTACAAAGCTGAAAGATTAAGAGGAATCACCTCACTCACGGGTTTTCCCCCGGTGTTTTTAGGATTGACAAAGTCTGTTATTCCAAACTTTTTCCCTGTTAAAAAGAAGAATAAGGATAAAGAAAGTAAACAAAAATAATAATCCAAATGACTATAGACCAAGGTCTTAATTTCATCATGGCATTGATGATTATTGTTGTCCACATTGAATTCAATTGCATTAATAAGTTCATTTTCTCTTCTTGTAAAGACGGAAAACCCGCTAGAGAAATTGTGATGAAAAAGGAACATTATGTGCTCTAAATGAAAACTATATTACCAACTTCAAATTTGTGGGGGTTCAAGTCGACACCAATAATTCTGGTAGCTCCGCATAGTCTTGCTCCCTCTGCAACCTACAAAACGAACCAATATCACCAGGCTGCCACCAGATACAATCAGACAAACCACAAAAACTGAAGGCAAAAATAATAATAATAAAAAAAGAAAAATATTTTATATTAAGTGTTGCAAAACCATACAGCTAATCCTACTGAGCCTAGTCCAAATATAGCAACAGTTGATCCTGCCTCCACATTTGCCTTCTTCCAAGCAGCAGCCACCCCTATGAGAATAAAAATAGTAATAAAAAAAAAGAAATAACTAATTGATCTATTTTAAGGTTGGTATGTACTTAAGTTAAGACACTAATCCAAACCTACCAGTTGATACCTCACAGCCGAGAAGACATGCCCGATTTGGAGCTGTCACGTGGTCGATTTTGGTCACGTGGGCAATGTCTACCACGGTATACTCACTAAAACTTGACACGGACAGAAAATGGTATATAGGCTCCCCATTGAGGCCTGTGAATCTGGTCGTCTCAGGATATCTAGGCATCCAAGGTGAGAGCTTATAGGGAAGTTTTGAACAGAGATTGCTCTTAATTGATTTGCAATCTACACATTCCCCGCAATCTGGCAAGAATGTTGGGATCACTGTGTCTCCTTCACTTACCTCTTCTACATCTTCTCCTACACTCTCCACAACCCTACAATTAGTCAGCCACAAATACATAAGTTACTACTAATCATAAAGATGTTTCTATTATAGGATAAAAAAATAGCTGACAATATTGCAGAGTTTTGGACTATCAAATCACACCAAAATTACAGTAAATCTTGAAAAAAAAAAGAAAAAAGAAAAAGAGAGAGAGTAAATTTAACTAAACCTTATACAAATGCTATAGTCAAAAACTGCATTTTGTTTGCTGAACTATAATTTCGTTTTTCTAAGAGTAACAATTGTGCAAATAATCGTTAATCTAGGAACATTTGGAATGACATACCCTATGGCTTCGTGACCCAAAATTCTTGGGAAAATTCCAGGTGATTCCTTCAGAATGTGACAAAAATAAAAACTCAGACTGATGAGTTTTCCAACTGATCAAACAAATATAAATTATGCCCATATATAAATAAATTTAAAAGAAAAATAAAAATTAAAAAAAAAACCTTCATTTTGGAAAAGGCGACATCGGTATTACTGGGAGAGGTGCAAATTATTCGAATTCGAACTTCACGGGGCATTGGCGGTGCCACAAAGATCCCCTCTATCACTAGTGGCTCACCAGCTACACGACTAACCGCAGCTACATTTTTTATAACGTGAATGAATTACTACTCGCTTTTAGATTTCAATCTACCAAATAAAAAAAGCACAAAACTTGTTCTACTAAAAATTAAAAAAAAATAAAAAAACCTCTGGATCTAATTGGCATCCCCTTGCTTTTGCTTGATAATTTCTCTTCCATGGCGTCTCACAAGAGTGAAAGTCCAATATAGTGAGTAAGATTACTCTGTTTTTCTTATTAGCTCTTTCTGGCTGTCTTTGCGGTGAAAAGCATCAGAGCAAATGAAATCTTCTGTGTGACTGTGTCCTCGTTAATAATAAAACCCAAAAACAAAAGTCCTCGTTAATAGTATTATTGGGGCTTGGAGGGCATTTTGGGTAATTCAATCAAGTTTCCTGGAAAATGGATGGTCTTAAACTAACGGTGTCCCTGAAATATCAGATGGGTTCCCGCGGCCACGAGGGTAACGGCTAGATTTTATTTCCTCCGCCTACTAATGGGCCTACTAGTTTGTCCAAAAGCCCGTATCAATTAAATTATGCGTTTAATTTATTGCGGCCACGAGGGTAACGGCTAGATTTTATTTCCTCCGCCTACTAATGGGCTTACTAGTTTGTCCAAAAGTCCGTGTCAATTAAATTATGCCGTTTAATTTATTAATTTAAATTTTTAATTTATAAAAAAATAAAATATAGGCTAATATAAAAAGTTTAAGAAAGTATATAGGTTAATTTTTAGTTATAGAAATTAATAGGTCATAATTTGTCAAATTATTGACAAACTTGTTAAGTTATGGTTCATACTCAGACAAGTTATGGATAAAAACTGTCAATAACTTGTCAAGTTATAGTTCATAACCATACAAGTTATGGACAAAAACAGTAATTTAGCCTATTTATTAACTTATGTAAACTATTGGCCTATTAATTTTAATTCATCTCAAGTCTTAGCATATTTCTCTCTTTCTCCCTTTTTAATTCGAATTGAGATGTAGTTTTATGTGAGAGCCTTTTATTGTAATAAAAAAGTTAAATGTGATTATTTTTTAAAACTTTTTACTATAACAAAACTTAAATTCTAAACTCGAATCGATAAAATAAACGGGATTATAGTTTGTCCTCTTGATCATGTTACTTCTCTCTCTCTTAATCGTATTAATTAAAACCTAAGGAAGCGATGTTCCGTACTGAAATCCAAATACTCAGTACGGAATTACCCTCGCAAAATTGCAACGAAGAAGCAGCAGCAGAAAATGCATCTACATAACTTGCTCAACGGATCTTTTACTAGGGAAGACTTATTGGTGTTCTGCATTTCTGAATGTAATCTTATACTAAAATCAATTAGATAAAAATAAATAAATAAATAAAAATAAAAATTCACGGTTCATCTATTGTGATTAGAATATGACCATTTAAAACTTGATAATACTTTAGATGGAATTTCTTGAATTTTATACATGATATACTTGACTCTTGAGAGGGAAAAAAAATCCTCAGCCACCTAGTTCTTAGCGATCTTTATCACGTCCAACTATAGTGTCAAAGTAGTACAACACTCAATCATTAGTAAGAGCATTTGTAGTTGCGGAGATGATTAAAGAAAAACGGTGAACCCCAGGTTATGATTATAATGATTTCGACTTATTAGTTATTCATGGTTTTTTTTTTTTTAACGAAATTTAAAAGAAATTTAAATTTAAATTATAATTTTATTTAAGTTCATGTTTCGACTTATTAGTTATTCATGGTTTTTTTTTTTTTAACGAAATTTAAATTTAAATTATAATTTTATTTAAGTTCATATTTTTTTTTTTTAAATTTGAGTTTAAACTCAAATTTATGACTAAATTCGAGTTCAAGTTTCCTCTTCAACTAAACTCAAATTAATAAATAATATTTTTTCTATTCTTAAAAATGTCATAACTTTTTTTGTTTTAATTCTGATAGAGATAATTTTTTTTCTATGCATTCACAACGAAAAAACGAATAAAACTCCACTCATATACTCTATTAAAATTTTTCAACACCATTGAGTTTTTATTAAAATATTATCTAAATACAAATTTAAGTTTTGATCCACTCAAACACAAACTCAAATGAATTCTCAATTCAAATCATATCTCAAATGTGCACGTCTAAACACAAACTCAAATTACAACTTCAACTCAAGTTATAACTCAAAATCATCACTCAAATAACTTAACTCAAAAATGCAAAAAAAACAACCCCTTAATACTCCAAATGCAGGCTTACGATTCTTTGGATCATCAAAAGGAAACAAAAACATTTACCAGCATATTCTCTTATTAGTACTGAAGCATCTAGTACATGGTTCAAGAATTGGATTCATCATTTTTATCCTTATAGCAGAAACCTTTTTTTTTTTTTTTTTTTTCCAGTTACTACGGCGTAAAACACAAGGTTTCAGAAACATATGTACGTCACTTAGTAAACACCAGAACGAAGTTGTTTAAGGATGAGAATGGGATACAAGTGAAGATCAATAGCTAATTTCACTGGTACGTTTTGGTGTTCATTTATCCATCCAGATCACACATCTGAGACAACACCCTTCAAGAAGCAAATCGAAAGCTTTGTTGATATCGTCAAACCCGATCTCGTGTGTCACGAACTTATCCAGCTCAAGTTCCTATTGTAAAGAGGAAAAACACACAAGAAGACAAATAAGAACATACAAAAATAGGCAATATTGGGATAAAGCAACTCAAGTTACTCTAATATTGTAAGTATATTGATTCATAATATCAATCTCCAAAACAGAAATCCAAGACAAGTAAGAGTGCTAGTGCAGAAGAGAACAAGTAATGTTGTTGAGTGTCTACTTTAGAAGCATGGTAACATATAAAAGTTGAGCAAATAAATGTACATCACCTTGGATCAAAAAACTAAATAAATAAATGTACATCACCTTGTCTGTGTAACGTTTGAGGAGGACTGGAATATCAGATTTAGGTTTGAGTCCTCCAAATAAGGAACCCTGTAGGGTTTTCCCACTGTGAAGGACATCCGTAGCTGAAAGTGTCACCTGTGATCCCGGCTTGTCCACGCCTAACACAACTGTCTTTCCCCAACCCTGAAGTTGAAGAGAAAAACAACATATTGATAAACCCGTAAAAAACGTAAAACAGTTTAAGGCAAGAAGACACAAGATTAATGCTCAAACAAGCCGAATCACAGGCTTGAACACTAGTATTAATGGCGGAAATTACATAATCACAGGTTTGGGTATGGGGGTATTCGAGTGACCCCTTGCACTCCCAATCCAAACTTGTCTAAGAAGTTCTGAGTATGTTCGAATGAATCCCTCTCATGCCTTATCTAAACTATTTATACTATTCTTATTTCCAGTAACCGACTAACTACTAGCCATCCGCTTCTAAACCTCCCTCCGGATTTGCCAGCTCAACCTTTGGATTTGCCTGCTCATCTTCCCTCTGAGAATTTCCTCCCTGACTCGCATCCCCACTGCCAACCCCTGCGCCTGCCACATCCCTCTCCCGAACTCTCCTCCGCACATAGGTAAAACGCACAGGAGGCTTATCATTACCCCCGCCCCAAAGACGCACCTTGTCCTCAAGGTGGAAATGAGGAAACTGGCGATCGATGGCCTCATAGGACTCCCAGGTCGCATCATGCGCCAGAAGATGCTCCCAGCGGATCAAAACCTCAGACTCGGAATGTCCCCCTGCCACATGTTGGCGCACACCCAGTAAAGCCTCTGGCATGACGCGCAACTCCAAATCACCTGTCAACTGGGGTGGAATTGAAAACACAGCCTGACAATGGCCAACAGCACGGTGCAGCTGGGAAACATGAAATACCGGATGAATGGCAGCCTCCTCCGGCAAGCCAAGACAGTACGCCACAAGACCAACTCGGGCAGTGATAGCATAGGGACCATAGAAACGTGGACTTACTTCTCATTCCGACGTCGGGCCAAGGACACATGACGGTAGGGACGCAACTTGAGGAACACTAAATCACCAACCTCATACTGCACATCACGGCGTTTACCATCAGCCACCGATTTCATACGCTGCTGAGCGCGAAGCAAGTGAGATTTAAGTAAGTCCAGCATGGCATCCAGGTCCTGCAACTGCTGATCCACCGAGTCTACCACCGACGTCCCATGTCCATAGCGCAATAGCGGAGGTGGAGCACGGCCATAGACCACCTGAAAAGGAGTAGTGCGTGCTGCGGTATGAAATAAGGTATTATACCAATATTCAGACCAAGCTAACCACCTGTGCCATTTTCCCGGTTTATCCAATGTAAAACAACGCAAATAAGTTTCGACACGCCGGTTAACCACCTCCGTTTGACCATTCGACTATGGGTGATAAGCGATATTGCGAGCGAGAGCAATCCCCATCTGCTTGTGAAGCTCGGTCCAAAAGTGATTGAGAAATATACGATCACGGTCGGTCACAATTGTACGCGGTACCCCATGGAGGCGAACAACTTCACGTATGAAACACCTGGCCACTATTTCAGCCGAAAAGGGATGCTTCAAAGCAATGAAGTGTCCATATTTGCTAAGCCTATCCATAACCACTAGGATAGTGTCGAATCCCTCCGAACGGGGCAACCCCTCAATAAAATCCATTGAAATATCCTCCCACACTCGTTCAGGAATGGGCAGTGGCTGTAACAGGCCACTAGGTGCTAACGTGGAGGCCTTGCAACGCTGGCAAACGTCACATGCAGCCACATACGTGGTCACATCCTTCTTCATCCCCGACCAAAACTAATCCGCTGCCAAGCGGCGGTATGTCTTAAAGACCCCCGAATGACCTCCTAAAACGCCGTCATGATAAGCGTGAAGCAGTTTAGGAATGAAAGGCGAACCCCTAGGCACTACCATTCTGCCCCCATACAACAACCGCCCCTGCACTAAGGAAAATCTAGGATAGTCCTCGGACTGGAGCTGTAATGCTGAAACAATCCGACCCAGCTGCTCATCTTACAATACCTGTTGCTGCAGCTCCTGCGTGTTTACAATGGAAGAGACCAGCAATGCACTCAACTCCGGTGAGTAAACAACACGAGAAAGAGCATCCGCGGCGCGATTTTCCTGCCCAGGTTTGTACTGAATTTCGAAATCATATCACAACAATTTAGTAAGCCACTTTTGGTGCTCTACGCTCACGAGACGTTGTTCCAACAAATACTTAAGACTACGCTGGTTAGTACGAATCACAAAATGTCGACCAAGCAAATATGGCCGCCCCTTTTACACTGCCAACACAATGGCCATTAGTTCCCTCTCATACACCGATTTCCCTTGAGCCCGCGAAGATAAAGCTTGGCTAAAATATGTAATGGGTTGCTGGTTCTGCATTAACACTGCCCCCACGCCATATCTCGAAGCATCAGTTTCGAGCATAAATGGTTGCGTGAAATCAGGAAGAGATAAAACCGGCACTAAGGATATAGCGCGTTTTAAACAAGAGAAAGCCTGCTCTGCTTCCGCTGACCACTGAAACCCATCCTTCCGGAGTAGATTTGTTAAAGGCCCTGCGATGTGGCTATACCCCGCAACAAACTTCCTGTAATACCCTGTCAACCCCAAAAAATCGCACAAGTCACGCACCATAGTCGAGACTGGCCAATTCAGCATTGCATCAATTTTTGCTTGGTCGGCTGACACTCCTTTACTCGAGACAATGTGTCCCAAATACTCCAAAGACTGCTGGCCAAAACTACACTTCTTCGCATTAGCGAAAAGATGGTGCTGCTGTAAAACTGTCAATACTTGATTCAAGTGTTGTACATGTTCCTCCAACGTCCGGCTATAAACAAGTATGTCATCGAAGAAAACTAAGACGAACTTACGGAGGAATGCTCGCAGCACCTCATTCATGAGTGACTGGAAAGTTGCGGGAGCATTTGTAAGTCCAAACGGCATCACCAAAAACTCATAATGGCCATCATGTGTGCAAAAAACAGTTTTGGGCACATCCTCCAATTTGACTCTAATCTGGTGATATCCCGACTTAAGGTCAATCTTGGAAAAAATTGCCGCCCCGTGAAGCTCGTCGAAAAGTTCATCAATAATCGGAATAGGAAAACGGTCTGGCACTGTTTCCTTATTTGGTAGTCTACACAGAAACGCCAACTAACATCTTTCTTCTTGACTAAGAGCACGGGACTGGAGTATGGACTCACATTAGGCCGAATAATCCTTGCGGCCAACATTTCTCCAACCAACTTCTCAATCTCTTCCTTTTGGACCTACGGATATCGATAAAGTCAAACATTAATTGGAGAAGTTCCCGTCTTGAGCACTATCGCATGGTCCTTCGCACACTCTGGAGGCAACTTTGCAAGCATTTCGAACACTGAAGCTCTACAACGAAGCACCTCTGCCAATTCTTCAGGTACTTTCCAATCACTCTCTAGAGCACTCAACTCCATGTTGTTCCATTCAAGCCACAACCCTTGCCCCTCTTGGCTAAACGCCCTCTGCAAGGCCTTTAAGGACACCGAAGATCTATTTAATCTGGGGTCCCCTTTCAAAGATACTAGACGGTTCCCCACCGTGAATTTCATGGTCAAATTCTTCCAATTCACCATCATAACCCCAAGAGTCTCCAGCCACTGAATTCCCAGAATCATATCTGAACTTCCTAACTCCAGGGGCAGGAAATCCTCCATGACCTCTACCTCCTACAAGGTGACCATGATACCCCCTGCATACCCCTTCTCCCTTAACAGACAATCCAGTACCCATAATCACCCCATAATCACATGTTCGGTCCACTGGCAATTCCAATTTTCTCACTAATTCGACAGAAATGAAATTATGTGTGGCGCCACTATCAATCAAAACTATTACCTCATTTCCACGCAACATTCCTTTGAGTTTCATGGTCTTCGGTGATGTAAATCCGACCACCGAGTTGAGGGATAGCTCGACCACTTGTTCATCCGCCCCAGACTCTACTTCATCTTCTTTCTCCTATGCACCTTCTTCTACTTCACAGACGATGAGTACCTACAACTCTCGGTTGGGGCAACGGTGTCCAAAAGAGTACTTCCCGTCACAACGGTAGCACAATCCCTTCTCCCTCTTCGCTTGAAGCTATGCGTCGATGAGTTTCCTGTACGGCGCAGCCCCACTGGAAGTGTCCTTGGTCTTTTCGGTTGTCACCAAAGAACGCCCCATGGCCAACGTTGGGTTTGTTACCTTTGGTTCTCCACCAAACGTTGGACTACTCCTCAGCCCAAACCCATACGAGAAAGGGCCTCCCTTATTCCACGAACTCACTGGAGACGTTTGGGCCTTGGGCCCGCGTACCAAGTGGTTACGCTCCTCCACCCGTTGGGCGAATTCCATTATTCGGCCCAAACCGTTGGGTTTCAACATACGAATCTCAGCCCTCACCTCCAGTTTCAAGCCATTCACGAACGCACTCTCCAAAACTTGCTCTGAAATCTCCGTTAATGGCGCGGCCAAGGTCTCGAACTGCCGGCGGTACTCCCTCACCGTAGTCTCCTGACGCAGCGACAAGAACTTTTCACAAAGAGTTCCTTCTTACATCAAACGAAAACGCTCCAACACCATTTGTTTCATCTCTGCCCAATCTCGGATCTCCCGCCTACGATCTTCCCACTGGATCCAGGCTAGGGCTTCTCCTTCCAGACTCACCACCGCCACGTCCAATTTTTCCATCTCCGACAGCCTATTCATGGAGAAATATCTTTATGCCCTAAAAATCCATCCATCTGGATTTTCACCATCGAAAACCGGCATCTCCACCCTTCGAGTACGAAATTCCGCGCGAGCTCCTCCCTCTCGCCATTCTTCCGGTCTTTCTTCCGTTTCCGCCGTTGGTGCTGGTTGCTCCACCGGAATTCCGTTTTCCGTCTCCGGCGTCTCCCGATCTGCAGAACCCCGCTACTTCAATAACTCGTCCATCCTTGTCAACAACAACTCAAGCCCTTGCTCCAATCGAGGTATTTTCCCAACATCCTCACGCATCGATTCCACCTCCTTCAACAATTCTTCCCTACTTCCCTCCGATCTTTCCTTATCTCAATCGTCAGTCTTCCTCATCATCCCAGAAAAGTGCTCTGATACCAATTGATAAACCCGTAGAAAACGTAAAACAATTTAAGGCAAGAAGACACAAGATTAATGCTCAAACAGGTCGAATCACAGGCTTGAACACTAGTATTAATTGCGGAAATTACAAAATCACAGGTTTGGGTATGGGGGTATTCGAGTGACCCCTTGCACTCCCAATCCAAACTTGTCTAAGAAGCTCTGAGTATGTTCGAATGAATCCCTCTCATGCCTTATCTAAACTATTTATACTATTCCTATTTCCAGTAACTAACTTCCCTTAACAACCCAGCCTAACCGACTAACTACTAGCCATCCGCTTCTAAACCTCCCTCCGGATTTGCCAGCTCAACCTCTGGATTTGCCAGCTCATCTTCCCTTTGAGAATTTCCTCCCTGACTCGCATCCCCACTGCCAACCCCTGCGCCTGCCATATCCCTCTCCCAAACTCTCCTCCGCACATAGGTAAAACACACAGGAGGCTTATCACATATGATATGAAAAAAGCCAGTACGAAGATGAGTGCATTCAAAATTAAATGTATCAGCATTGTAATCAATAGCTAGTCACTTAGGTTGTTAGCAAAATTAGTTATATGGCCGAGAATTGTGGGACTCTGTTAGAATTAGTTACAAAATTGCTGTGGTCTCGTTCATTTTACTAATTCGAGTTTTCAATTCTAATTTTGTTACAGTTAAAAACTCTCACAAAAAGTTACATCTAATTTTTTTCTGCTACAGTAAAAAACTCACATAAAATCACATCTCAACTCGAATTAAAAACTCGAATCTGCGAACTGAACGAGGCCTAAAGCCACACACTCAGAATTCACTCCAAGGTTGGAAGAGTTTTTGCCCAAATTCTCAAAACAATCTAGTTCATTTTCTGTCATTTTCGTGAGAATCTTCATCTTTTTCTACCAGAAACCAAAATTTAGAGGATCTCTTTAATACAAGGAAAATCATCAAAAGAAATATGCAAGTTAGATAGAAATATCCAAGGAGACTTTTGTTAAGAGTTATTATGTTTGAATTAAGAGAGAGACCTTTCGACAGCAAGCATAAGCTTCTTGCACCAAGGACGCGCGCCCAACGCACTCGAAGCAATAGTCTGCACCCCCACCAGTCATCTCATTGATCACCTACAACCAGAAAGCAACCTTAAAAAACAAAAATAATAATAATAATAATAATAATAATAATAATAATAATAATAACAACAAAAGTAACTCTATCACATAACAAATATTTTATCAACCAACAGTAGTACACCTTTCTTGATAGTGGATTAAATTACAATAACAAACAATGAAAAGTGAACATTTTGCCACTAAGTTCACAACATAGTTTATTGAGAGAAAAAACCTGGCTCACAGATTTGTCCCCGGAGTTTGCTCCATTGACAAAGTCTGTCACTCCAAACTTTTTTCCTGTTAAAAGGGCAATAATAATAATAATAACAATAGTTAAGATCACTGATCCATTATAAACAAACTTTTGATACAAAGGCAACGGTGCTACATCATAGATTTAAAAAATAATAATAAAATAAAAAGAAAAAGATCCAAAGCTATTTATTTACTTTAATGGAAAGGCAAAATCACGTTATTTTTCATGAAACTCTACGTACCAACTTCAAATTTATCAGGGTTCACGTCAACACCAATAATTCTAGTAGCTCCACATAGTCTTGCTCCCTCTGCAACCTATAAACCCAACCAATACATATAAAAGCTTCTCCAATGGCCCATAAATCAGAACCAAAATCAAGGAAGGGACAAAAAAACTTTTCAAGAAAAAAAAAATAAAAATCATACAGCTAATCCAATCGACCCCAATCCAAATATAGCAACAGTAGATCCTGCCTCCACATCAGCAGATCTCCAAGCAGCACCGACCCCTAAAATCTCAGTATATGGTAAAAATGTGTTTCCAAAACTTATGAACATAGAAATTAAAAATAAAAAAAAATAAAAAAAACTTACCTGTTGATATCCCACAACTAAGGAGACAGGCCCGGTTCGGAGGGATAGTAGGATCGACTTTGGTCAAGTGGGCAATGTCTACAACCGTATACTCGGAAAAGCTTGAAACGGAAAGAAAATGGTATATAGGATGTCCATTGAGGTCAATGAATCTGGTGGTCTGATCATGTCTAGGCATAAAAGGAGAGACCTTGAAAGGGAGTTTGGAACAGAGGTTGCTCTTCTTCGATTTGCAATCTGCGCATTCCCTGCAATCTGGCAAGAAAATTGGGATCACTGTGTCTCCTTCTGTTACCTCATCTACACCTTCTCCTACACTCTCCACAATCCTACATTTAAAAAATAAAAATAAAAATAATAATAATCAAGCGTTAATTCTGGGTAATGTTGATGAAAAGTCAACGGTAACTTTGACTTCTTACCCTATAGCTTCGTGACCGAGGATTCTTGGAAAAACTCCAGGGAAGTCCTTTAACAATATTAAACAAAACTGATAAGTTTTAATCTTTCCTTATTATTCCCAAGAATACTATATATAAGTGACGAAATCGTAATTTAAAATACTATATATATATATATATATATTTGGTAATTAAAATGGAGATGAAAACAAACCTTCATTTTCCAGAAAGTGACATCGCTATGACAGAGAGAGGTGCAGATAATTCGAATCCGAACTTCGCGAGGCATCGGCGGAGCCACAAAGATCTCCTCAATCACCAGTGGCTCACCAGCTACACGACTAATCGCAGCTACAAATGCGAAATTCATCAGTTTCAGACTCTTCAAACAGAACAAAAAGACTTTCAGAAATCTCTTTAATAAATGTATATATAGTGTGTATATATATATATATGTATGTATGTATGTATATATACCTCTGCATCGAATAGGCTTCCCTGCGGTTTCATGACTTGATGATTTCTTCTCCTCCATAAGCGCAGAGCTGATCAAGAAGAAGAGTCTGACACTGATCAGTCTCTTGATTACTCTCTCTCTTCGTAGACATCTTCAAGTCGTTTTTTTTGTGGCAGATTTATTAAAATGCTCATAGTAGCCGATCCAGCAACTTTGGATGCCTGACAGTGACCGTTGACCGTCATCTTTTAAGATGTTGCATTGTGAAATTGTTGGTGGTTAGGTTTTACCTTTTAAAACCACTGCCGAAACTAGAAACCGAATCATTTTTTGCCACTTCGATGTCCACTCCCCAAACCGTCGCATCGGAAGGCTATTTCTATTTTGTGGTCAGGATTCATTTGGGAGCCAAACAAAAGCCCATCACCTTTCGTCTCCCTTTCTCACTCTTTTGAAATTGATTTTTTTTTTTTAAATGCCCTTTCTTTTACTGTTACCAGAAAACGACAAGAAAAAAAGCTGTTACGTCGTTTTGTGATCTAGGCATTTGAAATTTGGTAAATTGGTTGTTGTCATCTTGTTGTCATCTTCGTATATCTAGGTCCCGTTCATTTCGCTTATTTAAATTTAAAATTCAAATTTTATTACAGTAAAAAACTCTAACAAATAATCACATTTAATTTTTTTATTACAGTAAAAAGCTCTCACATAAAATCACATCTCAACTCGAATTAAAAACTCAAATCAACGAACTAAACGGGCCCTAATAAATGAAAAAAAAAAAAAAAAAAGTCGGTTGTTGCTGTGTCATGTCGGAGTGAATCAGAGATTGTAAGAAGTTATAAATAAAAAATAAAGAGTAAAAATTTTGACATAAACATTTTTAAAAAGTATTTATTAAAATTATTCAAATATAAATTTTTGTCAACAACTGTCGTTTCTTAAGAGTTGACAAAAGCCCAACATGGTAAAAGTAAATTAACAGGGTTGATCAGTCAGCGACTTTAACGTTTTTCGTTTGAGTGGACAAGAAAAGATTCCATGCACCAACCAGGAATCATGTGCCTTAACTGCAAATCGTACTAAATAATTTCCAATTCGTCTAGATTATCTACATTGTCAAGTACTAGTTGGTGTAGACCTTTCTAAACACCCTATCCTTTTTTTTTTGAAAATTTTTCGAAATATCCTATCAAATATGAAAATGATATCTAATAACGACTCTAACATGTTACTAATTAAAGACTCATTTAATTTATTAATTTGAGTTAAGATGTGATTTTATGTAATAATTTTTTTATTATAATAATAAAATTAAATGTGATTATTTCTAAAAATTTTTTATTATAATAAAACTTAAATTTTAAAATTAAATCAGGTTGAATCGTTCGATATTAGGTGAGCTTCAGCTTTACATTGTTCTGGGATGATATATTAATTTAGCTGTCCCAAGAAGAAAACAAAAGAAGAATATGAGGAAAGAATCATATTGGAACAAGAATTAAATGCACTATAAAAATATAATATAAAAAATATTGGCTTATTACACTACACCTCTTGTATTTTTATAAAATGATAGAGACACACCCCTTGATTAAAACTAATCACATCAACATCCCCTGTTTTTAATTCTGTTAAATTTAAACGTGAAAAAGACAAAAATACCCTGATTAATATCAGCTAATGATCTAATAATCCTAAATCTCAGCCGCCCATTCACTTAGAATCTCGTTTATTTTACCGATTTAAATTTAGAATTTAAATTTTATTATAATAAAAAGTTCTCAAAAACAGTCATGTCGTTTTGTGATCTAGGCATTTGAAATTTGGTAAATTGGTTGTTGTCATATTGTTGTCATCTTCGTATATCTAGGTCCCGTTCATTTCGCTTATTTAAATTTAAAATTTAAATTTTATTACAGTAAAAAACTCTAACAAATAATTACATTTCATTTTTTTATTACAGTAAAAAGCTCTCACATAAAATCACATCTCAACTCGAATTAAAAACTCAAATCAACGAACTAAACGGGCCCTAATACATGAAAAAAAAAAAAAAAAAGTCGGTTGTTGCTGTGTCATGTCGGAGTGAATCAGAGATTGTAAGAAGTTATAAATAAAAAATAAAGAGTAAAAATTTTGACATAAACATTTTTAAAAAGTATTTATTAAAATTATTCAAATATAAATTTTTGTCAACAACTGTCGTTTCTTAAGAGTTGACAAAAGCCCAACATGGTAAAAGTAAATTAACAGGGTTGATCAGTCAGCGACTTTAACGTTTTTCGTTTGAGTGGACAAGAAAAGATTCCATGCACCAACCAGGAATCATGTGCCTTAACTGCAAATCGTACTAAATAATTTCCAATTCGTCTAGATTATCTACATTGTCAAGTACTAGTTGGTGTAGACCTTTCTAAACACCCTATCCTTTTTTTTTTGAAAATTTTTCGAAATATCCTATCAAATATGAAAATGATATCTAATAACGACTCTAACATGTTACTAATTAAAGACTCATTTAATTTATTAATTTGAGTTAAGATGTGATTTTATGTAATAATTTTTTTATTATAATAATAAAATTAAATGTGATTGTTTCTGAAAATTTTTTATTATAATAAAACTTAAATTTTAAAATTAAATCAATAAAATAAATGAGGTTGAATCGTTTGATATTAGGTGAGCTTCAGCTTTACATTGTTCTGGGATGATATATTAATTTAGCTGTCCCAAGAAGAAAACAAAAGAAGAATATGAGGAAAGAATCATATTGGAACAAGAGAAACGACAAGGACTCTTAAAAAAAAGGGGAAAACGACAAGGACGCCTATGAGATGCGATGCGGTACAGATGAGACAGCGAGTCAAATGATTTAAGCCATTGACTAACGATTGCGGAGTCACAAGTATGTAGCCTATCTTACGTGGGGAGTTGAAATAGCATATCATCACTCATCAGTGCCTGTTTCTTCTTCTATGTATTTATTTTGAAATTTTTACACGATATAATCTCGTTTATTTTACCGATTTAAATTTAGAATTTAAATTTTATTATAGTAAAAAGTTCTCAAAAACAGTCATATTTAACTTTTTTGTTACAGTAAAAAATTCTCATATAAAATCACATCTCAACTCAAATTATAAACTCAAATTAGTGAAGTGAACGCCGTAATGTATCTTTATATATATATATATATATATATATTCTTATGACGTGTCGTTTTGAAGTATGAAAAGGCACTTGTTCTGACGTTCTAACTTGTAAGAACAAATAATTCTATAAGGGAAAAGAAGGAGAAGAAGCACAAATAATAATGACAGCATTCAGTACCAGAAAAGTGTTGCGGTCCAAGTTTATATTTATATATATATTAAGAAAGTGCCGTTTTGAAAGAACAAAAAACAGGCTTAATAATTTATTTATTTTTAGTTTAAAAAAAAAGAAAAAAATAACATGCGGTCTATATGAAATACAAGAATAACGACAGCTTTCGGTGAATAAAACAACTTATCGTTTATATGCATTAAGGCATGTATGAACGGCACGTCATTTATTGTTAACATGCGGTTTTCCAAGAGAAAACACGACAGTTTGAACAAAGATGACACGTGGTTTGAAAAGAAACCTCATTGTTTAAAATAAGATTATTTTCTTAAACACTTCGTAAGTACCTTTCGAATATGTATTTTATTTTAAAATATCCCTAATTTTTCAAAATAATTCCAAACAACTCTTAATGTATAAAAAACCCTTATGTTCTATTTATAAACTTTAACAGTTTTACTCATGTGACGATAATTAGAGATATTAATTTCTAATTAACTTATAAAAATATCACCATTTTTTAAACATGGTTCGCATCTTGTTCATGAGTTCCCTTGGCAAAACCAGATATTCAACACTTTTGAAAAAAAAAAAATCCAAATCAAAAGAACACTGAAATTTCAAGAGAAAAACATCTGAAAAAAATACCAAGATCAAAAGAACACCATAATTTCAAGAGAAAAATATTTTGCTTCTTCTCAAACCAATTATGCTTGGAAAAAAAAAAAAGCTTCTCATTCCATTGAGAATTATGTTTTTTGTCCATAATACCATGTAGAACTATCTCTCATTTCAAGACCCTAGTGTACCCAGATAAACTCAAAGCAATTTTACCTCTAGTACATGGGATTACCTCTGCGAATGCTCATACCAAAAAACAAATCCATAAAATAACACTTACCTTGCAAACACGACCAATCACAACCAACCCAAGCACTTACCTTGCACAAATGACAGCCAACCCAATCTTGTCAGGGCAATTCAAAGGAGAAAAGGAAAAAAAAAATAAAATCCAACCAACCCCTTCAAATCCACCCCCCTCACGAGCAAGCCATCCCATTGCACAGTCTAAGCCGCCGTGATTATGAGCTCGCAATCGCAAACCCACCCGTCATCGTGAACTCAACCAATTGCAAACCAACCTCCTGTTGTAAGCCTAGGTCATCGCGATATGGAGCTCCCATCATTAGCCTCTATGCGCCGTTGTGAACCTAAGCCGCGTACAATCTTCACTGTTGTGAGCTCACCCCACCACAAGCTAGCCCCTACCGTCGTGAGTTTCCATGCTTGTTGTCTCTACTATACACCCAACAGAAGAAAATCGGTTACAAACTTTAGAACTTTTAGGACTTTCTTTTTTCCTTATGAGTTTTAATATTTAAACATTTTTATAAGTTAATTAGAAATTATTGTCTCTAATTATCTCTAAATAACCTGCTACTCAGCAAAATTGTTAAAGTTTACAGACATAAGTGAACAAAAAGGGTAACTTTATCCTTTTTTTATACATCAGTGGTGTTTTAAATCGTTTTGAAAAATTAGAGGGCATTTTGAAACATAATACATATTTCAGGAGTATTTATAAAAATAATCCTTTAAAATATGAACGATATCTCATATTTATGTCCACGCAGCTATGAAACTCACATACAAAACTTATTGACGGACATGTTCGGCGCGTTTGTTTTCATTTTTAAAAACATTTTTCACGTTTTTTTTAGGAGCAAAAACGGAAAACGTTCTGAAGATCACGTTTGGAGACCCATTTTCTAAAAAATAAAACTGAAAACACCCATTTTCATTTCTTCTTTTATCTCAAATTTCTGAAAATGAATTTTTATCATTTTCATTTTCTCCTCCCTATTTCCTTTGACTCCTCTCCGAAATCACCGATCTCCCTCTCACCTTCTCTCCACATTCGTTGTTCTGAGCTCATCTCCTCTCATCTTAAATCCAAATCACCTTATCTGATCTCCTCATCTCTTCTCCTCACATGATCTGATCGTCCAACTGTGGAAGGTTTTTTCTTAATCGGT